ACCTCCCGAAACTTAAATCGTGGCTCCGTCCCTGGGTACCGTGTTGGAGCAAAAATGGACTATTTCTTTGGGATTTTTTGTGGGCTTTTTAGAGCTAAATTTCGGGTTTATCATCAAAGAATTGTGGATGATCTAAGCATGTTTTTGCACCCTCCACTCAAACAAAGCTACCCTAGACTGAAATGTGTGCTCATCAAAAAATGTTTTTCAAGTTTGGTCTAATCTGTGCTTAATAAGAATTCGAGGGGTGAAAATGGAACTTCGGAGAGCAAGAGTGCAGCCCAAATATGTGCTTGAAATTTTGGGGTGGCTTTCTGCAATATCCACTGTGTATAGTATACTACCCTAAAAGCGAGACGGGAGCAATCGCAGCCTCACAAACGTCGATTCACAGACTTGCCCTTTGTCCCCCCAAGTTGAAGGCGAAGAAGTGAAATGGCGGCTGCTACAACAACCACGACGGCTGCTAGAGTAACGGCGTTCGCCGGAGGAGTGTTGCGGTATCCCCGGTCTATACCCTCCCCGGCTTCCTATTTCCTGAAGCCGTTCTCCGCTAGCTCCGGCGCTCTGCGTCTCAGCAGCCGGGCACTGTCTTCGCCGTCAGCCAAGGGGCGGCGATTCTATACTTGCAGAGCTATCTACAATCCCGAGGTCCAAATCAAAGGCGAAGGCCAGCCGGAGACTCTCGATTACCGTGTATTCTTCGTGGATCACTCCGGCAAAAAGGTCCGAATCACTTTTCAAACTCAATTCGATTCGTGGGCTTTTGCTAATTGTTGTAGCTATTGCGTTTGCGTAGACAAAATGTGATGGAGAAGGTTTTGACTTTTGAGCAGGTTTCGCCGTGGCACGACGTGCCGCTTCAATTGGGCGATGGAGTTTACAACTTCATTGTGGAGATTCCCAAAGAAAGCAGTGCCAAAATGGAGGTGGCGACCGACGAGCCATTCACTCCGATCAAGCAAGATACGAAGAAAGGGAAGCTTCGTTACTATCCGTAAGTCCAGTTGCTGTCAGGCTTTGGACACATTAGCTTTTTCCTAATCAGCTTAGTCTGCAGAATATGATTGATACTTTGTGCAATTTGGTGAAGAGTTTTCCTGTCCTTTGTTTAGATACAACATAAATTGGAATTATGGGCTGCTTCCTCAAACTTGGGAGGACCCTTCATTTGCAAACAATGAAGTTGATGGTGCTTTTGGGGATAACGATCCAGGTGTGGTAACCCTAACACCCGCCGTTTGAATACGTTATTGCGTCTTTCAGATCAAATGGCAGCATGAAGCAAACAGTCTAAACAACTGCAATGGTTGTGTTTGTGTGTGTGTGGTTGTCAGTTGATGTGGTTGAGATAGGAGAGAGGCGAGGAGAGATTGGTGAAATTCTTAAGATCAAGCCACTGGGTGCTTTGGCCATGATTGATGAAGGCGAGCTTGATTGGAAAATAGTTGCTATTTCCTTAGACGACCCAAAAGCTGCACTAGTGAATGATGTTGACGACGTCGAGAAACATTTTCCGGTACGTATTACTGGTTACCTGATCAATGCCCTTAATGTCTTGGTTAATACTGATGGTAGGAAGTTCAAGATTGACGATCTTTATGTCTGGGTTAATACTGAATCCCGCCTCTCTTTTCTAATAACCCCATGTGGGAATAACTGCTAAAAGACCAGCAACAAACTAATTGCCAAGCATTTTTTATCCAGTTCTGTGCTTTAATCACTGAAGGCCGTTTCTTTCTGTTTCTACTTTCTAAGCAATCAATTGTAATTGGTGTTAACAACCAGATCAAAAGCAATATTACATCATCGTGCGCAATGTTCTAGGACTACCTGCTAGGATTAGTACAGAGAGAAAATGGAACACTGTACACAAGTTAACAACATTTTTGCTGGTTTTTCCTCTTTGTTATGTTTGATAGGAGAGTCACTTTGAACTGATGAGCTCTCTCATTAAGAATGTCTAATAAGTTATGGCTTGCTTGAGCGTTACCTCGTCGAATGAACAACTTCACAATATAACCTTGCAAGATGAACTATAGATTACTAGAGCCTGAAATCAGAATAGTGTAAAGCTTACTTTCTTACTCTTTTTTCCTTTTGTCCTCGTAAGTTAGTGATTTGAATTTTGAACTCCATAGTCTTGCCTCTCAAAGCCTTTCAACATCTTCTTGCCATGCAATTCTAGTAGTTAGACTCCTAAACAGTAGATTCCTTTATTGATGGTAAACTGCTCGACCTAATGGACCTTATCCTATCAGTTGAAGATGGTTAAACTGCAGAAAATTTCCTCCTGAATTTAGTTTATGATGTCGAATTAAGCTTTTTTAAAAACTCTCCATTTGCGACAGGGGACTCTAACTGCAATCAGGGACTGGTTCAGGGATTATAAAATTCCTGATGGCAAACCTGCAAATAAGTTTGGTCTTGGAAACAAGGCAGCAAATAAGGTCAGGAGTTCAATTACTACTCGTCCTGGAAAAGTTACAGTTTTTGGTTAAAACCGTATATTTTTCCTATAACCAATTGAAATCAACGCTTGTTTCTGGATTATGATGTTTGACTTACCAGGACTATGCACTCAAAGTGATCAAAGAGACCAATGAATCTTGGGTGAAGCTTGTTAAGAGATCCATTCCGGCAAATGATCTTTCCCTCGTGTAGTCTGAAGCGCAGATGAAAGAATAAACATTTCAGTTGGCTCTGTCGTCACCAAATTGCACATCTTCCATTGTTTTGCATCTGCATATTAGTTGTCTTTTTCCTTTGGCGTTGGCCCCTAAGTATTGACTTGCGGCTCGTAAGTAATAATGATATATCTCATGTATATCACCATTTCTTTATCATTGAAGAGCTGCTTCTGCTTCTGTTTCGTAGAAAGAACTACTAATATACGTATTGTCATGCTTGGTTGTTTCCTACTATTAGAATTGTAGTAGAAACAGGCACTCGGCTGCCAGGTCGACTCATTTCAGCTTAATAACCGCGAGAATCGGACTGCTCGGTCGGCAAGCGGTCAGAATGATTAACTGTCTGAACTACCCCAAAGGATGAATAGTTGAATACCCACTCTTGAGGTTTAACTAACTCATTGACACTATGCCACGAAAATCACAATATCTTAAGTTTCCTTGATATGTTGTCGGGATACCATCTGCTACGCTTTTTTTTTACTATGATGGGCAATTACTTGTGAATTGCTATGTTACTCAGCTTGAAGAACGTAAGGGTAAAATATCAGCAAATGGAGGACATCGTATTTAAAGGCCAACTCGGCAGAAACGTGGAAACGTATGTTGACGTCGTCCTGGTCAAAAGCAAGAAAACATATGACCATCTTATGGACCTCAGAGAAACATTTGACAACATACGAGTGAAAAGCCTAAGATTAAACCCACTGAAGTGCATGTTTTGAGATGAAGCAGTTCCTTGAAATTATGATCACAATAAAAGGAATCGAAGCCAACCCTAAGCACATCGAGGTCATTGACAGCTTAAAACCACCTCAAACAATCAATGAGATACATGAGTTCAATGGGAGGATTGCTGCCTTCAACAGGTTCAACCCCAAGTCAGAAAACAAGTTGTTCGTTGAGCTGAGTGAATGTGATGTTGAATACTCCTCGTGGGCAGCAATTAAGGCACAAACACTATCCGATTTCATTGTCAAATATTTTTGTTGTGGACTAAGATGCGCAACCGACTGACCAGTGTTAGAATTTTATTTGTCGGCGTAGCTGCCGGGAAAGAAGAAGTTGGGGCGGAAATTGTCATAGAAACGCAAAGGGCGTCATCCACAATATCTCGACGAGTTTCAAGAGCTAAAGACAAATAACGTCGTAGAATACAAAGCCCTCTTGAGCTGGTTACACGTCATAATCAAGACGAGAGCTCGCAAAGTCAACATATTCTTAACTCATTGCAGATTACCGATCAAGTGAATCGGAATTGTAAAGCCAAGGAAAAATCACTCGCCAAACTAGTGCAAAGCGTCCGAAGTATTTTAGCACAACTAGTAGAATGAAGGCTGGAGCATGTAAGGAAATAGGAAAACCATCAAAATTAATGCACAATGGCATACTCCGACATACAAACTTGTATTTTCAAATTTAACTACAACCAACGCAACATGTCAACTTTCCACGGTCACATTCCTCTCCAAAAAGTCTGATCATGAATCACAAAAGGGAGGATTGACAATGAGCATTGCAATACATCAGTTTCCAACGGTTACATTCTACTTTTAAAGCTCAATCTTGTCTCCTAGAAGGCGTGACATCGGGAATGATTCCACAATGAGCTAGCCTCACATAGATGTGTTTCATTATGAAAAGCTTGACCCGATCTCTCATGAGACATGGTATCCCAAAAATGAGCTTGCAAAGTATACTCCTCCCACGGTCACATTCCTCTCTAAAAAGCCAGATCACGTCTCTTAGAAGGCGTGATATCGACAGTGAATGCTATAACGCGACACTCTCCCACTAGCCATATTAATGATTAATGTGGAAAGTCCTTAACAAGTCTTGAATCTCGATTAAAGCAGACAAGGCCCTCTTGAATAGATAGCTAAAATGGAGATTGTCATCAACTAAGACAAAATACCAAGGCAATTCAGAACAAGACTCCTATTGAGTAAGATTCTCACCTAATACAAAGCAATCTATTGACTGACTCTTGCGGAATCAATCCCTTACTTCCAATCTATGTTTCTTTATTGACCTAATTAGGCATTCCCTATCCTCGATCAAATCATAATCAATAACTTGATTAAAGTAGAATTGAACTAAAAAGATGCATAGATTGAATAGGGACTCAATTTTAACAAGAGTACTCATACAATCATCAAATCAAACATAACATAGCTAGGGTTCCTCAAACCTTAGTGAAGATAATTTACTCCATAGAGAGAGAAGAAAATACAAATGAAAAGATGAATAACTTCATTATGGTGATGAGATTCTTCTTCCAATCGGTAATCTCCACTCCTAAACTTGATTCATGGGCTCCAATGACGAAAAAATCTTCCAAAATTGCTCCAAAAATATTCCCAAGTCTCTTTCTCTGTCCACGGTTCGTCCGTTAGGTGTTTGGGGTGCAAAAACCCAGCTCTCCCTTTTATAATTAAAAAAACACATTTATACTAGCAGCAAAGTCAATGTCACGATCGTGACATTGAGCGTCCAAACCGTGATATTTAGAAGTAGTTCTACCTCCCCTACCTCAATTTCACGGCCTGGATAGGAATGTCGCCCCCTGTCTCTTGAGATTGGGGCAGACTTCCCATTTCGTTTCGTTTTGACTTTCAAATTTCTCGAAAATTGCTCCTACGGCTCCTCCATGTGCTAAGACCTGAAATATGCAAAACATAACACAACCTAACGTAAAATGGGTCAATGATAGTTTGTTTCCACGAAAAATTATCAAAAAACCATAAAAAATGAGGAGCAAAACATGTATAAAATAAGCACTTATCAACATACTAACCAATATCAATACAATATTAAGCACCACCAATATAGATTCAACCAATACCAGTACACATCTACCAATACCACTACGAAAAAATAAGTATCATTACATAGAGAAAAAAAACTACTACTATGAAAATCTATACAGTATCAGAATCAAATCAATACCAGATATAAAAAACAACCTATACCAAAATAAAACCACTACTAGAAAAAAAATATCAATACCAGAATAAAAAATAAAACCAATACCATATTACATGACCCAATACTAGAACAAAAAACTATCAAACAGAATGGATGGAACCAACGATGGATAAAGCATAAAAGAATGCTTCTTTGGTGGTTGAGTAGGATAAGAAGGGTGGATATTCATCGTGAGGAGAAGTATTAACAGACCATTGTGGGGCTTCAAGGATGTCTACGCACAGAAAGTGCCCAACATTGTCATTAGTACACGAATCACACAAATGGTTGCTGGCGATACTCAGGCGACGAATGTTGGGAAGAACTAGAGAGTGGAAGAGATGGAGAAGATATGTTGAGAATTGGGGAGAGAGATAAGGAAAGTCATAATTTAAGGGTAATAATCACATGTTGGTATCTTTTTCATTTTCAGATCTACGTCATACCAATCTTGCTCGTTAGTTTAATAAAGAGAGTAACAAATAAAACAGATGGTGTCGAGTTAGATTGTCACTGATTTTTTTTTTTTTTTCAATAGGTTTTCACATACGGGTGGTAATACGGTTGCGATTTTGGAGTTAAACCGCTAACCGCATCAAAATCACGCGATTTACGATTAACCGCAAACCGAATAAGCATGTTCTTTTGTTTTCTATTTTGCGGTTTGCTGTTTAACCACAACTGCAAGCAAATAAAAAATAACCGCATAAGTTATCGAATATAGGCAGCCACTTATCCAACGCCCTAGGTCCAAGCCCACTACAATCAATCACAACCCTTCCCCATCACATTTGTTGGCTTGGCCTCAACTTTTTTTTGAATAACATTTTCATTCATATCATCCCAAAATGGGAGGAGGCTTACAACATATGAGATACAATATCAAGGATTGTTTGTGATCCAATCGGCTGGTATTGAATTACACCGTGCATTTTTTTGCGACCCAATCAGCCTTTTGTTGTATTGACGGTTGATGAAAGAAACATGGATCCAGTCCGATTGCGCCAACAAGGATGAAATGGTAGAGAGCAAAGCAAAACACCGTCATGGCCACAATGTCGGTTCATTGCTCAATGCTTCTACTAAAGGCTTGCCATCAGAGAGGATCTCAGTTGGAGTGTGAACAACAGTCGCCATTGAACATGCTTCCAAGAGAGCACGGGCCTCAGCTAGGGCTGTCGGTTCGGTTCGGGTAACCGAACCCGAAAACCACAAAAAACCGAGAAACCGAACCCCGCCAACCCGAAACCGACCGGATGCTTTGCGGGTTTCGGGTACAAAAAACAGAGAAATGACCGCGGTTTTGGTTCGGTTCGGGTGAACCCGAAACCGAATCGGTTTTAAGTTTTTTTTTTAATACTTTTGTTATTTGAATTTTATATTCTTTTGCTTGTACAAACACTTTTATTCTTATTATTTGTACATTCTTATTTAACCATTATGTTTAATTTTCTGGGACGTGGACATTATAAAACTAATATTTATATATTAGTTAATTATTAAAATATTAGTTAATTATTAAAATATTTAATTTTATATGTTCTATAACTATAGACATACTATTAACTATTAAAGAGTATTACTAGTTTAGAGACAAAGTAAAATACTTAAACATATTTTACACGTAAATTAATCATATTTTATTTTGCTATGTTAAGTAATACAACCTTTTAGGCCATTTAATTGTGGATTTTCATATAATTAAATGTTTTAGTAATACCATAGGTCCAAAATTGAAGGTATATCAACTATCATATGCAAAAAAAAAATGTTTGGTGTTTGGCGCAAAATTATAAATAATTTTGTTAACATAAAATACTGACAATCATAGATGAGATTATCTTCAACTCGTAATTAAACACATTAGTTTTACAATTCTCAGATGATAACATCCAAGTAAAATAAAAATTCATCCATTATCCAAGATAAACACTACTACCATTATCACTCCTCATTAGACTCTACATCTACATAAATCTCATCATTCTCATCAGAATTGTCGTCGACATTGTCTTCTTCCACTTGTGACATAGTAGGACTCGAGACCAAAACATGGGTAGCAGGAGAGCTTCCACTAGGTTCTGCACGAGAGCTTCCACTAGGTCCTGCAGGTGCACTTGAACTCCGAGCTTGAAAAGCTGCATATACTGGATAACATAAACAATAACAACTTGTTAGAATATGACTTGATCAAGATAACAAATATAAGAATAAAGAGAAAGATTAAGTCTTTACCATTTTGAAATACCACTTCATCACCCTCATATTCTCCATCAGCCACCAACGAATCTAAAACTCGACCTCCTGTGCTGAATGCCGACTCAGAAGCAACAGTGGAGATAGGAACAGCAAGAATATCCCTAGCCATCTCAGAAATAGTAGGATATTTCATCCCACTTCGCGACCACCATCCCAAGATGTCAAACTTGTATTCATCCTCTTCTGAACCCACCAATGCTCGTGTAACCACTTCATCATCTTCCTCCTCCTCAAGGTACCTATCAAACTCAGATTTGGAACTTTTTCTAGTTCCTTTCAGAATGGCCTCTCTTTTCATTTTCCTAAAATCACCCCAAATCTTCCCTTTCTTCTTCCCATCCCCACTTCCACTAGGTTCTTGCACATCTTCCTGAATCACAATGGGAGAACTGTCAGGAAGTCCGAGCCTATGCTTGGTGAAATTGTCTCCCCGTCTATTGTTTGAGCAGGAGGTACATTGGTGGTACCGGTAGACGGTGCAGGAGCAGGATCGGAAGACGGTGCAGGAGTAGGAATTCTGGTACTCTTAGAGCGTCCTCCACGTTTAGGACGAGAAGCCGATGGTACCTCACTCTCCCTGCCAAAATAAAACACGTGAGTTTAGAAGAACATAGTAGGATGGAATACTAAGTTCAACATGCTGTCGGAGGAAGCCAAGGCTGGGATGAATCCACAGATTTCAGCTCATGGGCCTCAGCCCAGAAGTTCAAAGTTTTGGTATGTTTTTCATTTCCTATCACTTGTTTACCCTCGCTCTGCATCTACTTTCAGGTTTCAACTCAAACTTAGACCAGATATAATGTACAATGCGAAATGTGGGTTTGCAGTGTTCACAGGGGGAAACTATAGTAATTCAGTCAGCACCCGTAATCTGCCATTGACTTGACTTCATCAAGACGATGAACCTTCCCCAAACACGAAAGCTATTGATTGGTAAAACAGAGGACAAATCACATGGGAACAAGCTAAGCACAGAGATTTCTTGGAAACTCTGTCTCCAATTAAGACTTGTGAATTATATATACAAGTATAACAAGCAACTCCAACAACATTGTGATCATCATTGGTCTATAATTATCAATCCTGAAATATCGAGCAAATAGGCCAATTACAACGCTCTAGTACAGGGCATCAATACTAAGGTCATTCTTTACTCCTTATACCCAAACTAGACCTGAGTTGGAACAGGGCAGCTCGCTCAATCCTTGAACTAAGCCTCTGCTGCTGCTGAAATGTCGGCTGAAACAAAACCAGCAGATTCAGTACAATACACTGGCGGGATCCACCATGGCTCCTCTCCTTTTTGTTTGTTATCGACAGTGAAGGAGCAACTCGAATACCCTTTTCCCCATATCAAATTCTACGTACCCATTCATCAAAAAACCCACCGAGAGCATTTAGCACTAGAAACGACAATATGGGATGAATATGACTTACTGGGATGCCATAGGTCTCAGTTCTGACTCTGGTTTGTCGATGAAAAGACTGCGGGAAATAGCTCTGGATTTGAAGCTGTGGTGGGCGCGCTGTTGGCTGAAATTTGGGAAGAAGAAAATCAAACGCAATGGTTAGCTGCCTTGCTGGGCAAATCGACAATTTCAAGGTCTCGATTTGCCTCTGTACTGCTCTCCGACAGCAAGATGGCGGCTACAGAAACCTAATTGAAGCCTCGAACCCAGATGGATTGCTGCATTGCTGGGAGGCGGAGGGAAGGCGAATCGGGAGATTGACGACGGCGAGGACGTTGACGAAGGTGAGAAGTTGAACTGGTCGAGGTGAGAACTGAGAACTGAGAAGGGACTGGGAGAGGCTCTGTTTCGCGAAGCCTCGAGCACGAGCAGTCGCCAGTCGAAGTGTCGAACGAAACCTTCCCCCAAACTCGAACCCTAAGAGTTCCACTTCCCCTTATCCAAGAAAACGCCACCGTTCACTCCAAACAGTTTCGGGTTTTCCGGGTTTTTATCGGTTTTCGGGTTACACTAAAACCGAAACCGCTACTTATTGCTTCGGTTTGAAACCGAAAACCCGAAATCCGCCTTCTGTGTTTTCGGTTCGGGTTCGGTTTAACCCGAAAACCCGAAACCGATTGGACAGGCCTAGCCTCAGCCTTTATCGGGGAAGAACAAATGACTTTTCCTGCTCGACCATCGCAAATCTGTCCATGGAAATTAGTAATAACAACCCCATAAGCCGCATTCTGGGAATCATGATCAAAAGATCCATCACAGTGAATCTTTTTTGGGAGATTGCTTGGCGGTGGATGAAGGTGCGACTATAGATGTCAATCGGGCGGGTTCGGGCTGGGTTCAATCGGGTTGCGGGTTCGTTGGGTCGGGTTCAATCGGGTTGCGGGTTAGTCAGGTTGTGGGTTGATCGGGTTCGGGTTCAACCGGGTTGCTGGCAAATCGGGCTTGGGTTCATCGAGTTTCTGACCGGGCGGGTTGCGGGTTGTTCGGGTCAACGCATCGAGTTACTTACTTGTTACCAACTTACACATTTTATTACACTAATTTAAAATATTTTTGATAATTTTTAACCAATTTCTTTCTACCTCGTATATATACTTAATTAAAAAAACTAGTCAAAATGTTGAATCAATTTGTATGACTTGCAAACTTGTCATGTAATTAATCGTAACTGGTAAAGTTCACTAGCCAATCGTAATGGTGATATCAACATTTGTAATACATTATTAACAAACCATACATTCAGTAGACAAAACACTACTCTAAAAGCAAAGAAGAAAAACATTTTTCCTATCTCAACATTTTTGTGCAGCAATATAGATTAACCCAAACAAAATTTGGGCGCCAATATAGATCAATCCAAACAAAAATTGGAGGACCTTTTGGAGCGGGATTGAAGAAATTGGGCGGCAATATATATCAAGAAAATATAAAATTGAACAACATTTTGCAACGAGAAGGGAAATGGGTAACAAAAAAGACACATTTTGTTGTTAACCACAATAACAAATCTCTAAATACCCTCATCACAAACTGCACCACTATGGTTAGTGGTAACCACTAACCGATGCGGTTCGGTGTGGTTAGTTTGTGGTCAATCGCATAAACCAATTTACCAAACTCATAAATTGATCTATATTTTTCTTATAAGTTTGTTATCAATAAAAAATAAGAGAGATATGAAGGATAATATTAATGGTAAAAAATTAGAATCATATATCACATAAGGAAGATATATCAAATAAAATATATACAAAAAGTAAAGCAATAAAATATGTGAAGAAAATCACAAATATAAAAAACCGATAAAACTATTAAAGGGTAATCCAACATTAACAACAAATCACTATCAATCTTATTCAATAAGATGACAATAATTGAATAATTAGTAGAAGTTAGAATCTTTTATAACTAATTCAACAATATAACAAATAACTTATTAAAGTGCTAACTACTAAACTTTACCCTACTTATTAATATTTATTATTATATTCTAATACATATAAAATAGAGTTAATACCTTATTTTGGCCCGAACTATAACCATATAATCAACTTTGGCACGTGGTTTCAGAAATTAACATGCTGGCCTCAACTATGCAACATATAGACTAAATTGGCCCGACACATGCTTTGACCGTCAATTTGGACGGTCAACATCATTGACCGTTAGTCAACATGCCATGTCATTGCCTAGTCAGCCTAAAAATTATTAAAAAATTCAAATTCAAATTATTTTTCTAATTATTATTATTTATCCTTTCCAAATTAACCAAAAATTAAAATATAATTTTTTTTATCTTTTGGGACATTTGAAAATGGTAAATTCAAAAAAATCATATATAAAAATTAAAGATTCATGTTTCAAAGGCTAAAATTTTAAAAACCCAAAAAGTTGAAAACACCAAATTTGTTTCACTCTTTCTTTTCACCAAAAAACAAAAAAATACTAAAATTTTCCCCCTTCTTTCTCCTTCTATAAATTAGAAACACTCAATTTTCCCTTCTCTTTCTCTTCCATAAAATTGAAAGAACCAAATTTCTCTCTTCCTTCCTTCCTTCCTTGAACAAAAAGTTGAAAACTCAAAATTTTCCTCCTTATTTCTCTTTCATAATCAAAATAACCAAACTTTCCTACTTCTTTCTCTTCCCACAAATCTAAACCACCAAAATTTTCACTTGTTTCTTTTCTAAAAAATTCAAAGAACCAAATTCCATCTTCTTTCTCTTCCCAAAAAGTTGAATACACCAAAATTTCTCTCTTCTTTTAAAAACATCAAATTATCAAATACATTACTTTATTTTATTTATATTTAATTGATAATTTTATTGAATAGTTAAATTAATCAAAATTGTAATTTATATATTATATTAATATTGTCCATGATCTAAATTATTCATTCTTCATTATTAATATTGACATTATATTGATTTTATATTTACTTTTTTAATTTTGTTAAAGAACTTAGTGTTCAAGTGACCTTCATGTTTCAAGTGAGTTTCATATTTTTTAAATTCCCTATACGAAATGAAAAAATAATTTTACCTAAGTTTAGAATGAAAAACTTTATTTTGAAAAATTATGTATTGTATATTATAATAATTATTCAAGTGGACTAGGTGAAGTTCGGGTTGAGTCGGTCGGGTTACGAGTTAGTCAGGTTCGGGTCAGTCGGGTTCGGGTCAATCGGGTTCGGGTTAATCGGGTTGCGGTTCGGGCGGGTTACAGGTTGTTGATTTTTAGTCAATTCCGGTCGCGGTTGGGTTGCGGGTCGGTTTGTTCGGGCGGGTTAATCGGGTTGAGCTATGTTTTGACACCTATAGGTGCGACGACCTGAAAGTGTGCAGGTGTGAAGGAGGATGGTGGTGCATCGGATGATGGTCAAAGGACTATCACGAAAAGCTTGAATGGATGTGGTCAAAGGACCATCATCTTTAGAGGAGTGTAGTCGGTTCGTTGGCTTCACGAAAAGCTTGAATGGATGTGGTCAAAGGAGACAAAGTCGCTCCTCTAAAGATGAACTCATTGCGGGCCTTCCAAAACTCATTGTGGGCCTTTCATCAACCGAAAGATGAAAAAACGAAACTGTATCCTCAAACTGTCCTGTGACCTTGTCTCCTCTGCCTGAGCGAGTGCTGCTGACTATTGAGTGCGCATCTCCGACTCCACTCTCCAATCGCCATCTGCCAATCCTTTCGACCAATTGAATTCAGTCCAATTACAACATTTAACTTCAACACCCAAACTTTATACTTGAATCCAATAAATAACATCAATATTTAACTTTTAAGTTCATGAAATAAATTACAATTAATTTTTTATTAATTAAATCTATTAAAACAATATCATTCGTTAATATGCCGAAAAATTGATTGTGCCAATCATATGATGATATTCACGCTAGTTTCATTACCAGAACCGGTTGAATCTGGTCCAACCGGCCCGACATTCCACCATGAGCTTCACTCAACGCGTCCCCTTCCCACTGGATCAGCAGTTCAGCACGTGCAGAACAGCCAAGCATTCCTCTCTCTCTCTCTGCTTCCCCCCACTTTCCCTCTTCCCCCGCGGTTAAAACAACCTTCATCCAAATACACAGCCAAAAGAAAGGAGAGAAAAAAAAAAGGGAAAAGGAAAACCTAAACTCTGTCCTCCGATCTCCCCTCGCCTCCGTAGATCTCACTTCACCGGCGACCTCCCCACCTCCTCCGCCACCATTTTCCGACTTCCAGTCACTGAGTCCTCAAACAGAAGCCAGCTCTCTACTCAAATTTCAACTCAGTAGTCAATTCCCCTGAGACACTCAAGCTTCCAGCTCCTCTCTACTCCCAAGTTCAATTCCGTCGAATCAATGAATGCATCTCCGGACTGAGTCAGATCGATCGGAAATGGCTTCGATCCGCCGCACGCTCTCCCCGGCGCACCACGACCGTTCTCCCTTCCAGAACGGCAACGCCGCCTTCAACTCTACCTCCTCCCCGCTCTCCGTCTCCAGCAATGCTAATAAATACTCTTCCTCCTTCTCCGCCGCGCCCTCCGCTTACCTCGGTCGACTCCTCGCCGCCGCCTTCCCCCACAGACGCAAAGGAGGCTTCGGTAGATCCTTGTACAGGTGCTTGCTCTTCTTCGTTTTAGGTTGCGTGTTAGGTGTCTTCCCGTTTGGCCAGGTCGATAACGATATCCACGGCCAGGATTTCTCGTTCGAGATCAAGCCGGCTCATGTCAACGTCAGATTGGACGAAGATATTGATAAGAGGAGCATCATACTCGACGACGACTCCCCCATTAAGACGGTCAATTTGGGCCTTGATGCTCAGGTTTCCGGAGATGATCCCTCCCGCTTCGATTTTCTGCCGAGGAAGCAACTCATCGTTGTCACTCCGACGTATAACCGTGCCTCTCAGGGTTATTTTTTGAGTAGGTTAGGCCAAGTCCTGCGATTGGTGCGGCCTCCACTGTTGTGGATTGTGGTCGAGAGCGATGCTGCTTCCATGGAGACTGCGGAGATATTGAGGAAAACTAGCGTCATGTATAGGCATTTAGTGTGCACCAAGAACTTGACGAATGTGAAGGATAGAGGTGTTCACCAGAGGAATGTAGCTCTTGAGCATATTGAGAGGCATAAGCTAGATGGGATTGTTTACTTCGCCGATGATGATAATGTGTATACCCTTGAATTGTTCGAGAGGCTAAGAGAAATCAGGTACGTGTTCCCCTTGCTTCTGCCTTAATCAAATCCGCATGCTGAATACTGAAATAAAGGGTTTGACTCATCTTGGACTGATGGCTTATATTAGAGTATGTAGATTGGTTGATATTGATGGACCACTTTACTCTCAAGTGTAGACATTAATGTTAGTGAGTTGGCTATTCCATATTTCTCCTCTCTGGCTGGAGTTCTGTGGCTGAAGATATCTGCTTATTTGTGGCATATGTTACTCTTGTTTTCTCAATATATTCGTTGATTTCCTTGGTTTATTTTCATACCGGAAGTAAAAAGCATGTACCTTGGCATTCCTGTATGTTTTATAATCTGTGGGCAGTCATATTCAACACTTTGCATCTCATTTCTATGCACAGTTAAGGTAAAACTGATTTTGCCAGTTGTGAAACCGTGTACCATTTGGTTCCAATCTTTACATCTATAGATTTTATCTTGAACTTCTAGTTTATCAATCCATAGAGTACATGCTTTCACCTGCAGTAGACCACATTGGCGAAGTCATAGATCTAGAATGCGGAACTCCTTATATGTTTGGTTCTCTCCCCTACCCAAAACTGTGGTGAAGGGGAAAACACTAGAGATGTTGTAACATTCTGTTGCAGTATTCTCCACAGTTACTAAAGATAAATGGTTCTTATATTTTGCCATTGTTAGGCTAGCACTATCATGCAGCGAGTATAATCTGGCTACTGATAATCTCTTTGTCTTTTACTAAAAATACCCTTTTTCTTCTGTAGCCGATTTGGCACTTGGCCTGTGGCAATGCTTGCGCAAAGTAAGAACAAAGCAATCCTTGAAGGCCCAGTGTGCAACGAAACTCAGGTGATCGGTTGGCATACAAATGAGAAAAGCAAACGACTCCGAAGATTTCATGTCGATATGTCGGGATTTGCTTTCAACACAACCATCTTGTGGGATCCGAAGAGGTGGCAGCGTCCTTTTAAAAACCCGATCAGGCAATTAGATTCAGTGAAGGAAGGGTTCCAGGTACTATATCTTTGCCCCTCCCCCCGCGAATTTGCTGTATTTATCCAAGTTGTTCCTGATGCGCTGCAATAACTATGTTCTTACTTTGCAGGAGACCACATTCATAGAGCAAGTGGTGGAGGACGAAAGCCAAATGGAATCGGTGCCTTCTGGTTGTTCAAAGATACTTAACTGGCACCTCCATTTAGATTTCGGTGGTACCAAATACCCGGAAGGCTGGCTTCTCCAAAAGAACCTCGATGTCATTCTCCCAATCTAAGGGGACAGAGTTCTGGACATGCAGTTTTGATGCCCAAATAGGTAGGTACACACTACACACTCATAACCAAATGCATCAATCTATGGCAGTTTTTAGTTTTGAAGTTCACACAGTGGTCAGAATTAGTAGGAAGCAGATTGATGAGAAATAAAGAGTAGCTTCTCTTGTCTCCTTTTTGGGTGCAGATATCCCTTGTTCAAGCGAGGAGGGAGTTGCTCTTCTGTCGACCTCTTTTCAGTACTTGTCAGTGTTGAATATATAGCAGGGCTGGGCAGGTCTGGGCAGGTCTGGGCAGGGCATCCATCTTAAAGGGAGGGGATCCTCAGCTTCTTGTGTCAAAAAAAGAACAAATACAAGAGCATAGAGACTGGAGAGAGTTTTATTTTTTGGGTTAGCAGAAATTTTGCATTTGTTGGCGTTTGGGACTATTTTTTCTCCATTGGTTTGAAGCTTTGGGGCACCTCTGCCCTCCAGGCGTTGTCAGAGTAAGAATTGTACTTCAGGTCAGGATTCGTGTACGCTGACATGTGGCCTTTCTGCAGGCCTCTCCTTCTTCCTCCTCCTCGGGAAGAAAGGTTTGGAATTAGCTCTTGTCCTGGTCGTGGAACCTCAATACTTCATCCCATCTCCTCGTACCAGTTGCAAACTTATTTGTCTGCGAACTTGTGTTCTATATTGTTGGCCAATTTTTCGGCCTTTTTCTATCTTGCATCGCTCTCTCAGCCGTATAGTTGTCATGTCATGTCGTTACTGGAGCTGTATGGTGAACCGGGGACAAATTATACAACGATGCAACAGAACAAATTAGTCCAATTTATTTCCTACAGATTGCAGTTCTGGTCTCGATTTGGCAGGAAGATTAACTTGGACGAATCAGCGGCCTCAAGGCCAATTTCTCTATTTGAGCCACCGATTCTAGATGTCCATAGGGAACATCGTTTCAATCGATGACAACCCAGAAATCAGTTCCTATGACCGGCTAGTTACCTTAGTTTCATAGGTTGGCAAACCCTAGAGGTTTTTTGATGGTGTAACAAATGATGCTTGGTTTATATATGCTGATTTGACTTCTTCTATCTTTCTACTTGATTCCATGTTTGGTTTGTTGGCAATTCGATTGCGTGTTCAAGACAAGAACTATCTTTAAAGGAGATCCTCCCATCCGACTTTGCGGATAGATGAAATTGGAAAGGACAATCATTCACAATCAATCGAACCACACGACTACCTCAAGGGAGAAATTCGTAGGGTCTATGTTGCATGTTGGTTTGCAGGGACACCATGAACAAAAGCAGGATCAAACTTGACAAGAATCAAGCAAGTCATATGTAGCCAGACTTAATCATTGATTCTTGGTTATATGCATGCGTGTGTTTTTTTAGTTCGCCTTGCTATACTTATTGCGTTGAGATGCCTATGTCTCGCATGCAATACATGTTCAGAAAGCGACCTTGTTGCATAAGGTGACATATGCAATTCGTTGTCATCATAAGGGGCGCAACCATATAGGAGTATAGTAAGAGGAGAAACCCAAATGGTCATCTGGATACTCTCAAACACGACTGTGTGTAACCAGAGTCTTTAGTTGAGTCAAAGGAACTTTGTGTTAGAAACATAAATGTTGGGGGTTTGGATGGTTAGGCGGCCAGGACGAATTGACATTAGACGAAGTTGATATCATTGATCACGGGGAAGAGATTCGATAATCGTCGTTGTTGCTTCATATATGTCCACCATCTTATTCTTTCGCTGCAGACGATGTCAAAGTTTGGAAGCTTCATTTATTTATTGTTGATCATATTCAGACTTCAGTGTTAATTGCTTCAACGACAGTTCGTTCATTGGTTGCTTCCCATTCATATGAGATATATATGGTTAACGATTTTGCTTATGTTGGCCACGTTTCAATTTGTAGATTATTAATAATACATAATTTCATTATTAACAATATGATCCAATACCACAGTTGTCTATTTATGTTGTTTGTTCATATTATTGATGTTCATGATATCATTAATTGAACATTTATGTTCATTATGATAATTGTTAACATCACACAAAATGGAATAGGTATCAATTCACATCATTAAAACTAATAGAATAATTGTTAAAAATAACTCTATTGTTGTTAAAAATGCATGTTCGTTCCATAAATGGTTCTATGATTGGGATTTTGTAGAGATTTTTATGTCTGGGTTTGTATTGTAATCCAAATGGTATTAAATTGTTATTTTAATACGGCCTAATAAAATCGTTTCATTAATCTAAAGGCCAAAATTATTTTGAAGTAAATTGTAACCAACGATTAGTACCATATTATGAAAGCGAAAATGGTATGAGAATATTCAAGATTGGGGATTTTATTAGAATAATGATAACTGACGTTTTCATTTATGTGTAGCTTGATTTGATAATTGGATTTATAAAAAAAATATACCATCATTTGTTGTTTGACAGGTGAAAATAGAGAAGATTGGGCGTGGAGATGAATCCTGAAGTTTTGGTCAACTATCCAACCGTTTATGAGGAAGTAGGGTGATGAAGGCATTCCCATTAAAGTGTTGTAAATGGCATTTTTTCCTTACAAAAATCACTCTGGGTGCTTGGATATTTGAAATTGAGAAAAGTTAACCCATGAATCTCCTTCATATATTTTATAGATTGGAGGATAGTCTAGAACTAAAATAGTTAAATATGAAAATTGAAGTATCAAGCACCATTAAGATACCTACAGAAGACTTAATGAGCTAGCTTATCGTTATGCAAAAGTCATCTGTTTTTCAGATTTTAACTTCGTATATGTTTTTTTATACAAAGTATACAACATATTTGTCTAGTGTAATTGGTTATATTTCTTGTCTTGGTTTAAAGAGATTATGGTTCAAATCTTGGTGCTGATATATTTTTACACGAAATAAATAAATAATTGTGAAGACAAAAATACTCTTACTACTTTTACTCTAGTTGCTAGAAATTTGAAATGGAGAAAATTTAACCCATGAATATGCTTTATATATATAGTATAGATGTAGAGGTAAGAAAATAAATAATAACTCAATTTAACCATGCAATTCCCATTTAAAAGAATTATGTGATTGTATGATAATAAATAACTAGCTTTTACCTGATTTGCTGGTCACATGAATTTTGTTTTATATTTGCTGATCAATTTTTTCATATTTTTAAACTAGCTTTTATTAGACTCGTTGATGGAATGAATTCATCTTATTTGTCAATACTTCATTATAATTAATAAATTCATATTTTCAATTGATTTGGTACTCTCAAAGAGTAGTAACTAGTAAGTAATATTTTGTACTGCTTAGATAATTTTGACATTGATAATAATTAGTTCAATGGATTTTTGTTGATCAATTATCATTATTTACTTATGTTTGTATATATTTCATATAGTAGTTACAAACTTCAAGCCATTAGCCTATTGCTAATATGTAGGAATGGCAATGGGGCAGGTTCGGGGCGGGTATCTCGATATCCATACCCGCCCCATGGCAGGTCGGGTCCAAGTCGGGTAATTTATCACATGGTGCGGGTCGGGACAGGTCGACCCAATGGGTATGTAATTTATGTGAAAAACATTAGAAATATTCGTTCTTTGCATTGAAAGACCAAGAAAGAAACCATAATATGATAAAATGTAGTAAAATTATTGAATAAATTGAGGTTTTCACTTATTTACAACTTTATTATAGCTAAAATATAATGCAATAAGAGGAAAATCTTAAGTAATTTGACTAAGATTATATGTAATTTAGGCAAGAACGGGTCGAGAATGGGGCGGGTCAGGGCAGATCGGGTCGATGAGAGATATCCATGCCCGCCCCGCCCCGAAACAGGTCAAACAGATCGGGTAAATCGGGTCAGATCGAAAATGTCATCTCTACTAATATGGAAGCATAAAATCCATCATCTAATGGGTTCACACTTTATGGCCAACAATTCGTCTAAAAAGATAAGAACACATAAATTATTAAATACTAATTCAATAGTAACTAATATGTATCTTAAAAAAAGTTGGGGTTGTTAAGAATTGACATTAAGGATAGTTTATGGGTACTATAATTGTCAAACTCTAAATGTTCTAAACATTTTTCTATAGATTTTTTATTAAACAAAGCACTTCATGGCTCAAACATACAATCACGTATTGTGAAAATTGAAAATTCTAAAAAAAGATCATGCTTTCAGAAAAATAAAATATTTGAAATTTAAAATAAATATATAGCTCGATAATAGAGTTTAGTATTGCATTTGGTATATAAATCCAAAACCTGTGAGATTTGTTTAACTCTCGCATTGAAAATTCATAAAAATGTATATTAAAATTGTGAATCAATGGGCAACGAATTTTTGCCAAATTTATTGGCACCATGTATTTAGAAAACTTCACATCAACAAATGATATTTGATAAATCTTACATACCAAGTGCTTGATCTATATATACTCGCATATGTCATTATTCCAATTTTACTAGTATTTATATTTTTTTGCATCTTCAGTTCATCTAACTTTAAAAAAAATATCACTAAAATTTTTATTTAAGAGACTATTGTTATTAATCTAATTGTTCATAAAAAAATTTAATTGATATTTTTTTTGGACAGGGAAAGAAGAAAACTGGGATTGAAAGGAGAAAGAAGTTGGTAATTGACATATAAAAAGTAAAAATAATTATAATCTTTTCATATTTAAAATCTTAATATTTGTGGGTAATGTAACCATTTTTTATAGAGAGAATATAGTCATCTTTACTACTTTAATATGAAAAATCCCTTTCAGAAGAAACATAAATAACGTTAAATGTATCATTAGAAACATGAACGATAAGGTAGAGAGCTTCCACTACAGCTCCAAATCGACTTGTCACACCACCTGAAATGGATGAAGTTTCCAACTATATTTCTTTTTCAAGAAATTAATGTTTAAGTGAACTTCATTGTTTTAAAAAAAATTGTTTTTTTTAAATACATAATTTTGAGGGTCGTTTGGATGAGAAATTCTAATAGTTCTTTTTGACCTAATTGTTTCGTTTTGAGAAAATCTGGTCAAATTGATCCATTTGGAACACAAATTTAGATGAAGCAATTCTTCTTGGAGAACTTCAAATTCACTCATTTTGAGTCAATCACAATTGTCTGGGGTGGGGGCAGACAATTCAAATTGGCTCATTTTCAATGACTCATTTTGTAAAATTAGACAATTGGCCCAAGTGAATTCCAGATTTTGAACTTCCCTTTATGAAATGAAAAATGTCGGGTAAATGACACATTTGGTCACTGAGATTACTAAATCGTGTCATATTTGGTCACTAGAAAAATTTAATATCAATTTTGGTCACTCGAATTACTGACAAAGGTCACATTTGGTCACTCTTCTGTAGCCTCTGTCCAACTACGGTCACTCGAATTATTGAAAAATGTCACATTTAGTCACTCGGATTACTGAAACATGTCACATTTAGTCACTCTCCCAAAAGTTTCCGTCCAACTACATTAATGGAGTTGGACGGAAACTGACGGGAGAGTGACTAAATTTGACCAGTTTCGGTAATTCGAGGACCAAAATTGATATTAATTTTTTCTAGTGACTATACATGACACACTTTAGTAATCTCAGTGACCAAATGTGTCAATTACCCAAAAAATGTCTTTACTTAGATTTAGAACGAAAACTCCATTTTGAAAGACTATATATTATGAAATACAGTAAGTCAATAATTATTAAGGCCAATCTCTCTGATTTGGGTTAGTGGGGTTCAGCTCAATTGAGTTGCAAGTCAATTGGGTTACGAGTTAAATAAGATTGCGGGTCAATCGAGTTCGGATTAACCGAGTTTCGAATTAATCGGGTTGCATAATAATCAAGTTACGGACCAATCAGATTACAGGTCAAATGTATTACAAATTATTGACTTTTACTCAATTTGGGTTGTGATCGTGTCAGTCGGATCCGACTTTGTTTTGACTCCTATGTAGGGGTGGAAATCGGTACGGTATCGATACTGAAATCCCGAATACCGAATTACACCCTAAAATCAATCACAATC